TAGAAGCCAGCTTCAATACTTTGCTCTACTCTCATATCCTCACTAGGCATCAGCCGTCCAAGAATACTCAATATGTCAACAGCGTTACTGTATTTGGCACGCCGAGACACACGTTTCACAAAGGGGAAGGGCTCTGTTATAAGGCCTGCCTGGGAAGCATCAATCAAACCAGCCATTATATATATATTTCTCATTGTAAACTCCATTTGTACTATTTGGTGTGGTATTGTGTGTCTGATGGTAGCTATAATACATCCTAGTTTTCTTTTCTGATTTTCACGCTGAATGAACCTGCCACATCTCTCCTCTTTGGACTTGATTCAAAAACCTCATATCAAGCCTTCACAACAAAACCGTAAATATTGTTCGAGGCGTTGATGTCTCCTACTCCCTGCACGGTCCGATACACCTGAGAGCAGCTTCCTTTGGCATTATACACCTGCAGTGTCCGAGCTCCAGATGATCCCGACCAGCTGATCTTTGCACCTTTGGGGATGTTGACAGTGGTGCAGCCCTTGCGGTTTGGTGCCCGTCCATTTTTGGCCGTTGGCGCGAAGTTCCCACGCGGTGGCAGTGGAGGTGCCAAGAAGAACAGTGATAGCCAGGGTAGCCAGCTTCATTCTGGTGGGTTTGTGGGAAATGTTGTGGTGTCGTATGAATAACCCAAGAATGTTATGGAGGGTGTACCCAGCAGAGGATTAGGGCTTACTCGTATTTAGGGTGGGTGAATGAGCATGTTCTTCAATCAGCGTCGCGAAAGGCGATATAGACGGGATTTTATGTCTTTCTAGCCCCGTGCTCGAAGCAGAGAGATTGATTGACATCATTAGAACTCGATTATACGAGGATTACTTTGTTCGGTTCATCAATGCATTGTTTTTCCTGGTTGCCCTCGCGTTGGCCGGATTTAGCAAATTCAGTGGCAAAGACAAGTCAACTGCCGATGACTCGTGTATGTCACCAGAGATACAATATGAGAGAGTCGACCGCGTATACTGTATGGAGGCACCTCTGCTAGAAGGTCTTTTGTCTTTCATTATGGCTGTCAAAATAAGATCAGTGGTGTTCAACCCAGAGGACTGCATAAGTGGCATTGCGGGGGGTGCTGAGGTAATTGACGTAAATTATGCCTAACTTATCCCGCTTATGAGATTATGCTCGAGTTATGCCAGCACTCATGCCAGCTCAGGCTTTCGCCTACCACCTCAAAAGCTCCCAAGAAGGTCGCATTGATGGTGTCGAACAACCGATAGGCTCCCTTTTGGACTTGTGTCTGATAATTCTACGATTCTATGCAAAGAGATAGCGACTGGCCGCCCGCGTCACAGCCACTAGTTAGGTATCGAGGCAAGCAACCACTCTGAGTTCCAGTCAGCTGGTGGTTTGGCAGCCCCCCCTGAGCCCGATGCTTAAGATCCTCTTGGGCCTCTTGGCTGGTTCTGGGGTGTCTTCTGTATTTCCAAGGTGTTGCATCTCACGACTTCCAGTTTGCCTGATTTTGCAGCAGCCGAATTTACAGGATCTGGGGGGTTTGCAGCGATCCCGGCCTTGTCAATTCATGTGGCCGTGATTCATATATTCGTCTTGACCCCGTAAATCCCATTGAAATGAGGCAGACGAGCCACTCTCGAGTTAAATTGTCTACTGTTACCTATATTATGAACTTCGCCCTTAGTGTGTCGGGCACCTACTATGAGTTCCCGATCTTTGGCGATGACGATGTATGACGGGGGATCTCCTGTGGTCTCCTTTTCCTATCTGAGGAGAGCGTGAAGATGTGTGGATTCGAGGCTAACGAGGAGGAACTAATTACATGCCGGCTGGGAAGGCGGTGAGGTGCCCTCGGCCGGAGGCAGGGCCTCCGTCACTATCGAGTCCGTTGTTGTTCTTGTCTGCGCTGGCCTGGACTGCAGGCATGGCAGGTCTCTCGACAGAAGCGTCTGAAGTTGTCAACCCTCATCTCCCTCACCCACTCGGAAGATGACTGATATAGCATCGCACTGCAACGATTGGGGTGTTTTCTCATTTCTTTCTGGTGCTAGCGTGGATCACAACGGTGTCAGGCTGTACAGTGAGTACTATGCAAGCCTCCTTACGGCACCTTGGCAAGGATGATATCAATCTCCAACGGGGGGACCCACCAGGGGAGGGGCGAATCCATCGATTCAATCCCGGCCGAACTCTCGGCCCCTGCATTCTTCGGCCTTCTCCCCGAGCTTACCATCTCGGCGAACCTGGCTGAGTATCAAATCAACATTGGTCGCGGCCTCCTCTCGATTCTCTCCCCAGCCATCTGAATTGCAATCACTGCCACATAGTCTAATTGAAAGCCAGCATAGTGGGGCCGTGGTTCAAGTAGTGATGCCGAAACATATTTAATTTCCAGCAAAAACATGGAATATTTTGCCGAGTTGGAATTTAAATAGCTGGCCGGGGAGGGTGCGGCCGAGCCAAGTGCAGACAGACATACATCGGACCCGAGAAACGTGACGAAAGATGGCTGCTGTAGCCACCGCTTCGGCCGATAGCACATGAGAAATGCATGCAATCATGCGGAGGGTCGATCAATTAACGGCCGGGGTTTGGGCCCGCCGAGATATCGCCGCTTCGGCCGAGTCGACTTTGCCTTCACCTTTATAGTTGCGCGTGTTTCAAGTCGTTGCCCGACGGCAGTACTGGGGCAACCCTTCCCACTTCACTGCCCGTTTGTTTGTATACTGGTTGTATAAGAACCCTTGACCACCACCAACATCTCCATCTCGCTCCATCACCATCAATCTCACATTCCCACTGATGTTCTGCTCTCGTCCCGCGGCTTTCCCCCGACTTCTTCGCCCTCAATTCCTGACCTCCCGCGCCGCACCACTTCACACCATGAGAGACCAACTCCGCACACGCTACGAGCTGCGTCAGGTGGGATCGGACTCGATGCCCTGGCAGCAAGCCACAGGAAAGCAGGTGCTGTGGATTGGCTGCTCGGATAGTGATTACGATGAGCTGGAGACCCTGGGTCTCCAGACCGACCAGGTCTTGGAGTATCGAAATCTGGGGAATATGGTGATCGACGACCTTTCTTGTCAGGCCACGCTGGGCTATGCATTGGAGCAACTCAAGGTCAGTTAGCAAATCGACTTAGTCGTTCCGCCTGGCTAACAATGAGGCGGCAGATTCGGGACATTGTCGTCTGCGGGCATTACGGCTGTCACATTGTGCAGGGGAAGCCCAACCCGTGCGTGCCGGAACCGTGGAGCAGAACGCTGGAGATGGTTCGTTCGACGCACAATCACGCTCTCGACCAAACCAGCGGGCAAGAACGGGACCGAGCGATGGTTGAATTGAACATCCTGGGGCAGGTGCAGTCGTTGAGCCAAGCACACGACCACGACATCCAGGTGTTCGGGGTGGTGTATGACCGCGCATCGAAGACTGGATACCAAATCACCGAGGCTGGGTGTTGATGTTGGGGTTGGGGTTGGGGTTGGTGTAGATACTGAAAGTGACTTCATAGATGAACGATACCCAATAGAGCGAATTGATAATGATGATGATGATCAGATAAGGGATAAGGCAGAGTTCAGGCAGGAACTGCGTGGAGGGCTGAGATGGGCAGCCGTAGCCGTAGCAAAGCCCCAAGCCGCGGTTCAGCGAGCGGGGCAACAACAACAACGTGGCACTTCCTTCAATTAATTACTCCATTATCATTACCGACTTCCACCATCTCCTCCCCATCCCCCCCTCCCAATATCCCACCATGTGCTCTTCCAAAGACCCCCAACTCCAAGAATCTGTCCCCGAGTTTCTCAAGCACTCCCATGAGCGGGTGTTTGAGAACAATCGGGCCTGGGTGGCCGCCAAGAAGCAGGAAGACCCCGCTTTCTTCGAGAAACTCAATGCCGGCCAGACCCCGGAATATTTGTAAGAGACTAAGACCATCATCGCACCACTAAGGGGACTAGCTGTTTGAGAGTTGGAATTGAGACTGACCCGGTGGATACCCCCCCCGATTCGCAGATATATTGGCTGCAGTGACAGTCGCGTGCCCGCCAATGAGATCATGGGGCTGGAGGCCGGGGAGGTGTTTGTTCACCGCAACATTGCCAACCTGGTCCCCAACACCGATCTCAACGTCATGTCCGTCATCAACTACGCCGTTCGCCACCTCCACGTCAAACATATCGTCGTCTGCGGCCACTATCAGTGCGGGGGGGTCAAGGCCGCCATGAGCCCCTCCGACCTGGGCCTGCTGAACCCCTGGTTACGCAACATAAGGGATGTCTACCGGCTGCATGAGCGCGAGCTGGATGAGATCAAGGATGAGACCGCCCGCTACAAGCGTCTCATCGAGTTGAATGTCGTCGAGTCTTGCCGCAATATCATCAAGACTGCCGCCGTGCAGCAGAGCTTCCACGAGCGCCAGTTCCCCATCGTGCATGGTTGGATCTTTGACATGGAGACCGGCCTGCTCCGCGACTTGGAGATTGACTTCGAGGAGACGCTGCGCGACATCAAGAAGATTTATAACTTGGCTCCGGTCTGAGGAACCGCCGGGTGCATCACTAGGAAGTACAGTACAGTACAGTATATTGCCCCAATAATGCAAGAATCGTTCAATTGTTGTGGTCGCCAGAAAATATGAAAAGACGTGCACAATGCTGGAGTAGGAAGAGGGACTAAGGGCTGTCGTATGATCAGGTGATTGCATTGTGTGGCAGCGCGGCGGTGAAAGCCGATAACTAAGGTACTGTACCTAGTAAACAACTGGCTCGGATTATTAGACAGCAAAGTCCAAGACTGTCCCAGTGGTCCCAAATCCATTTGAGGAAGAGAATAGGGCAAATGTATGACTCCACCTAGTAGGCCTTTGGCTCAATTAGATTCACCCATGGTTATAAACTACCTCTGATCATGATGAGCAGTTTCCGGAAGCATCCCCATGAGGCCAAACCAGGTCATATTTAGTGCCTCACTCACTGCCCTGCAATCTCTCCTCCGAACTATATCACCATCGTCGTTTCCCATACACACCGTACTCGCAATAACACATCATGCCAGACGAGAGCTCAGAGCGTGCTCTATCTCCAGCCATGGAGTCCCCCCTCGAGACACTAGATCCGGATGGGGACGCGGTACTACTGATCCCCGGTCCAGCTTCAGGCCGATTCCTGGTGTCATCAAAAGTCCTGATCCTCGCCTCACCCGTCTTTGCGAAACTATTCACATTGGGGTATCGGGAGGGGAATCAGATGAAGAACTCGACTCGGCCGACCATCACCCTACCGGAGGATAGCCCAAGTGCCATGCGGACAATCCTACAAGCTCTTCATTACCAAGGGTCTGAAGATGGGGATTCATTGAGTGCGAGACACCTGGCCGTCATCGCTGTTCACTGTGACAAGTACGACTGCAACAGTGCTCTCCGACCTTGGATCGTGAACTGTCTTGCCAGGTTTAGTCGTATCGAGACACCAGAGGATCATGGCTACCTTCTTCTCGCTGCATACCTCTTTCAGTGCGCAAGCCATTATGCCAGAATTTCCATCCAGGCCCAAATTAACCTTCCTCCCCGGTTTGCTGACGCCTGGAGCGAGATAGACCTCCTGGATCTGCTACCGTCAAGCGTTTGTAGTAGGTTCCCCACGCGAATGCCATGGCGAATATTCTAATAGGCAGAGGGTGACCTATGCAACCACATACACAGACAACTACGGAACATCCACGAACAACTTCAAGCGGGCGAGGTAGCTCTCGCAACGGATGGCAGTTGCGCTCGGCTGGATTGCCGGCTGTGCAAATCATGCGACAACACTTACCCTGCGACGGAGAGAAAATGCCCCTTCTGCGGTTCCCGACAGTGAGACAAAGAGCATTGTACACGGCAATTGCGCATTGCACAGTACTTCGACGGGCTCACACGCGCTGGACTCCGGCCTTCTCTGGAGCCCTTTGATAATTGCTCGATGGCTGAGATTCAAACGCGTATTTCGGAAGCGAAGGGGTACTGTACCCACCAGTGTGAGGGAGATCCCTGCCCCCTCGGACTGCAGGTGAACAGGTTGGTGGATGCCATTGAGCAGGTGGTAACTCAGACTACGGCGTTAGTCTGGCGCCCGATCCATGTCTTATCGACTTCGAGAGAGCACGACCGGTGCTCTGTTGATCAGATCGAATGCCCTGTGACACAGACTGCCTGATCTATGGGTCTCGGCATGCAACTCATTTCATGTGCAAAGCAAATACTTTCTCAGAATGCAAGTTTTGGGTTATTGAGAGGGGTCTGTCGGTTGTAGAAGGTAAAGATTGATTTCCATCGAGCTAGAATGTTCATAATTGCAGACCCGATAAAGTGAACTATCATGGCCGCAGGCATTAGTAGGCTGAGACCGTTGACTGAATCCTCCTTTTCTGCCTGCCCAGTGCACAATGTACCGATAGAAAGATGAAGTCCACCGTGTCAAACAACTAACCCCCTAATGAGGCTCATGCTGCCCCCCCGGCAGCCTTTTTCAAGCTATCTGCATGAAGTCTCTTCCAGCTCCCAAAGAAACCAACGATTGTGCTGACGCCAAATGCAGCCACGGTGATGGCGAAGACCGCCTTCAAGCCGACCACATACGCATCAATCACGACGGGTACTTGCGAAGGGGTATATGCTTGGCGAATCTGCGTCGCCCCAACGCCCAGAACCATGGATGGATCCAGATCGGGCAGTCTGCGGGCCATCTCTTGGAGCAGCTGATTGTTGAAAGCGGATTGTGCGGCCGAGAGGAAGAAAGACCCGCCCACAGTCACGAAAACTACCGGTGAGAATCAGGAGATCGTTCACGCTCGACACGGTCGATGGAAGGACATGACTTACAATTCACAATGGATGCCACTTGCGACATGTCCTCGGGTGTTGCATGAACCTGTGCGTTGGAAAGAGCGACTTGAAATGTCCAACCAATGGGGAATCCCACCAGGATCTGATACCCAATCCACTTGCCAGTTGAAGTGTGAGTGTCCATTGTATAGAACAGTCCGCACCCTATGGTTCCTATCGCGCCGCCAATCACCCAGAATAAAGGCACGATGCCGATCTTGGATAGTGCAACCCCTTGGACAACGGCCGCAATCGTCAAGGGAATAATGAGGGCAAGCATCTTGACCCCGGATCCGATGGGACTGCTGTTGTAGACACTTTGAAAGTAGATGGGGAGATAGTACAAGATTGTGAAATACGCGCCACCGAAGAAAAACATGTACGCGGAGCCGACAGAGATGTAACGTTTCATAAACTACCCCGACCAGGGCAATTAGATCCTCTGCAAGCCACGACGGAGCTGGGCTGTGACTTACCAATCGCGGAACTATCATTGCATGCTCCTTTTGGTAGATCTCCCATGTGATAAAGACCCCAAGCATTAGGACGAAACCAACTAGTAAGCCAATTACGACGCTGCTGTTCCAAGAGTGTGTTTGACCACCATACTGCAGTGCTAAGATATATGAGATAATCAATCCCATCATCAGAGCGGCACCAACAAAGTCCATGTGCAACAACTTTTCTCGTAGAGTGGCTCGCACCGGCATGGCGTTGGCCGGGGCCTGGAAGAATACGAGGATAATCACCGCCGCAAACCCCCCAATGGGTAGGTTAACGTAGAAGCACTAGATCGCGGTCAGCAATTAGAAGGGGAACTGGAGGCAAGTTTCATGACTCTACCCAGCGCCATGTTACTTTATCGGTAAAGGCACCCCCGATAAGCGGACCGAAAACCGCAGCGATCCCGTATGTGGCGCCGGTATACCCTAACAACTGCGGACGCTTTTCGGGAGGGGCGGCGAATCCAAGTATGGTAAAGACCCCCACGGTCACCCCAGCTCCGCCCAAGCCTGCAATTGCCCGGCCAATTATCAGAGTTGTGGGATCTGGAGCGACTCCACAAAGGAGGCTTCCCAGCTCGAAAATGAACAAGCCGACGAGGAACCAAAGTTTGATGGGAAAGAACTTATAGACCTTTCCCCAAGTCGATTGGAACCCTGGAAAGAATCAGCCGACCGGTCTCGCCAAGATGGCTCGACTGACCGTGAGGATGTTCTAGATATCGAGGAAAAGGACATGGTCTCTGCGAACTGTTAGCATGGCGTGGGCAACCCGCACTCTCACGACTCACCACCGCCAAAGGTCATGAAGTATACCGCTCCATACCACGAAACCTTGTTCAGGTCATGGAACTCATCGGTGATCTTAGGGATAGCAGTTCCAAGAATGGTCTGGCAGCAAGTTCAATCAGCTTTGCGCTGTGTCATGAGGCCGAGCAACGCACGTTATCAAGCGCCACCAGAAACATGCCCAGCATAAGTGAGAGAACGATAGCAGTCAGACGGGTGCCATGCGGATAGCCATCATCATTGGGGTCTTGTATGTCGATGGCTTGGGCTTTGGTGGCGCTGGGTGTAGAGATTGATGCCGTCATCGTGTTCGACCACAGTGGAGAGTCTTGGGTGGCCGCTGGCTTTTCTGATGCAAGAGGTGTGCACTCCTTCATTGTGATGCTTGTGTTAGGATGATACTTTCCCTCATAACACAGGCAGAAAGGCAATCTGACGAGCTTTATGCGACGGTCTCCCCTATGCCATAAGAGTTGATGGCTGCAGTAAGCAGATATCTCCGACTGCCTGTCCGAAGCTGTCCAATCCACCATTTGTGAGCGGCTTCGGCCGAACACGAGCACGTCAGAGTGTCTTGTATTGGCCAGTGAAGTTGCAGGCCATGAAAGTTCCAGGATCTGGTCCATCTGCTGTCCGAAGGGGATAGATAGTATGCTACTCGGTAGCCCTAGGTAGTAGTGGCATTATTCGGCCGAATTGGAAGGGGAGGGGGGTGCTGAGTCAGCCACTTCGGCCGAACTGCTCGCTCACTCCTTCACTCCTTCACTTGCTCCCAAAACACAACTTCACTCTGGCTCATCTCTGTATCATCAGGCAAGAACAGACTTCCGCAAAAATGAATGCGGCTTCGGACAAAAGTGCAGCGAAACGCAGGAAGGTGCGAAAAGGAACTCACTGTTGCCGAGAGTGCCGCCGAAGAAAAGTCAAATGCCTCCTGGCAAGCCCGGACGATGATAGCTGCACTGCCTGCAGCCGTCGAGGCACCAAATGTGTTAGTCAATTCGATCGAACATCGTCCGAACTGCTCCTCACTCCGGGCTTGTCACCAACCTCCGATTATGCTAGGACTTCCGCACAGCCAACAAGACATGCGAAAATTACCCAAACTCTTCTACGTGCGCTACCCTCTCAAAGCGAGATCGGGATTCTGCTAGGAAAGGTCTCGAGACTTTCCACTTTGTGCTATCAGTCCGGCTTCAAGTTGAATAGCTCGTCGCGCCAAGAACTGCCACAGGAACAAATCGCAATTCCCAGTTTACAACATCCAGAAACCCATCCGGTCTTGTTAGCGAGGCAAATGTTACTGCTTGCAGTGGCATTGCAGCACGTTTCTCCCACTGCGGTTATCTCGGGCCTCAATCAACATCACCATGTCATCATGGAGGAACTCGCGGAGTCAGCCATTGCCATGGTTACTACCAATGACCGGTTAATGAGTACCTTGGAAGGTCTGGAAAACGTCATCCTGGAGGGGTTCTACCATATAGACAGCGGTAACATCCGTCGTGCCTGGTTAGCCATGCGCCGTGCTGTCACTACGGCGCAACTCTTGGGGTTGCATCAACCCGGTCATCATCGCTTCAAGAAAATCAACGACAAGAACGATCTTGACCCCAATGTCATGTGGGCTTGTATCGTCTCCATGGAGCGTGTCTTATCCTTGCTGCTGGGTCTACCCACGAGTACTGCGGGGACGAGCCCTCCAGCGTCAGGGAGCATGAGCTCTTTGGGGACAAGTGGCAATCTGTCCTCACTAATCATGCTGGTCACAGCTAGAGTTCTGGAACGAAATCAGGTAAGAGTCTCCCAACAGGCTCTACGAATAACACGGGACATCGATCGAGAGCTCATTAGGATGACCGAGCAATTGCCCTCCACATTCTGGCGGCCACTGGATTTCGCAGGTCTGGAAGTTGATTCAGTGGAGGCATTTTGCGAAACCCGACGAGCATGGGACCACATGTGTTACTATACCGTCGTCAACCAACTGCATTTACCGTACATGTTGTGCCAAAGCCAGAATGCTGATGTGGTGTACTCGGGAGTCGCGTGTGCGAACGCCAGCCGTGAGATACTCGTTCGCGAGATAGCAATCCGTACTTTCAACCCGATAACCGCCTGTTGTCGGATCGGCGACTTCATGGCGCTAATTGCCGGAATGACTTTAATGCTCGCGCACCTCGCAAGTCATGGCCAGACTGAGGTCAATCGGCTGCTCGCACACCAGCGATCGAGTGACAGGGCCACCGTGGAGCGGGCTCTGGAATGCATGGAGTCCATGTCAGAGTTACACGAGGATGCCCTCGCCGCAGAATGTGCTGCCTTGCTGAAGGATCTATTGTCCATTGAAGGCAGGGCAGCACGAGGATACAAGACCGACGCAGACGAGACACCGTGGTCAAATAAGCAGCCGGCTGATAATCCTAACGTGTTAGTCATCAGAGTGCCATATCTCGGTGCGATCAGGATTGCACCTGAAGGCATCACATCTGTGCCATATTCCGAAACAGGGCAAGATCAAGGTGCTCACGCAGGAGTCACGATTGGGGGGCTTGGGTTGATTCAAATTGAATCTTCCAAGGTTTCTGCACAACTCTCAATCGATAGCACATCCGATGTCCCAATACCACAGGCAGCTAGAACACATGCAGCAAGCGATCCATTGCCGCAACAACATACTACGGCGTCTTTGCTCGGAAAAATCCCCAATACTGTAGTGGAGAAAGATCTCATGTTCCCGGATGCGGCCGCCAGCATCGACGATTGGGTGTTCCAGGGTTTTGATACTGCCTTCTTTGACGTCCTGATGCGCGAAGCAGGGGACGTACAGTTCGATGACGGCAGGGTTGATTAGAGGGTGTTGGTCTTGCCAACCTCTGTGCTACTTCTACCTAGACTCTCGAGTGATACATTTCTTCGACGGAGATGTAGAATCTAGAGCCTACACCGCGAATCAGAGTCAGTTCTAGACACCGATTTCCGAAGATGCAGATCAATCTCAACCCGAGCTTCGAAGATAGTATGAATTGGGAAATCAATGAAGGTGAAGATGCATGTTCTTCGGTATCATTGTGATCTAGCCGATGGGAGACTTTCTACCACCAAAGACCGGTCCGTCCTTGCGGTAGAATTCTACTACGTCGTCCACCAGCGCCTGGGGACATTCCCAGGCAGCGAAATGACCACCACGTCTGTGATGTCTCCAGAATTGAATGTTGCACGCTTCCTCAACCCAGTCTCGTGGTGCGATCCACACCTGTTGACCACCGTGTCAGTCACCCAGTGGATCGGTAAGAGTGCCAGGTTGGGGCGGCTTACCTCCTTGGGGAAAACAGAGGCTCCTACAGGTTGGGAGATGTATTGGCCTAGCATACTAGCCGGCTTTGCATTCAAAACAGCAGAAGCCTCTTTGTAGATCTGCATGGCCGCACTGGGACTCCCTTGATAGTGAATGAGTGCCCAGTGAATGAGCTCGTCGGGGGTCCAGGGATAGTCATCTGTCCATGCGTTCAGCTTGCCGACAAACCAGGCCAGAATCGCCACCGGCGAATCATGCAAGGCATATCCCAGTGTGACTGGCTTGGTTTCTTGGATGCGTTGATAGCCTCGCTGGTCACATCTCAATCAGGGGACAGGCTCTGTGGAATCTGGGATGACCGGGGCTCACCTCTTCGGTCGCAAACCAATGGGTCCGCTCCAGGTTGCGGATCTCTTGTTCGCTATACTCATTTCGTCGGTATCTGGCGTACTTCTCTGGCGACCAGTGCTCGTCCGGGGGCAAGGCCAGCAACATATTGATGTGGATGGCCCGCACTGCGTCGGAGTGGTTCAGTGCCATGTAGCGCACAATCGATGAGCCCCAATCCCCACCCTACATGCATCGGAAACTTCCCATACCCAGGAAACCACCACTCCGTGATGCGTACCTGGCAAACATATTGGTCGTATCCAAGTTTATTCATCAAGCGGGCCAGACATTCTGCGTGTTGCTCGAGACCGAACCCGCTCTTCTTCGTGTAAGCGCTGAAACCGTACCCTGGCAGCGAAGGCGCCACCACATGAAATGCCTGTTGGTCATTCTTCGGCTCAGTCAATAGTGGAATGATTTTGCACGCTTCCAGAAAGGACCCAGGCCTATGTGGTGTATGTTAGTTGGGGATGGTAGCTTCCCTTATAGAGGCTGAACACACCAGCCATGCACAAAGATCAATGGTATAGCCCCGGGTCTCGAGGATCGATGGTGGAGAAAGTGCAGGTTAATATCCTCAAACCCAGTTACTGGGATGGGAGTCCGAAAGTGGTGAAAGGAGTTGTTGAGGTAGGCCTCAAACTTGCGCCAGTCGTAGGCATCGCGCCAGTATTCCACCAGGTTCTTGAAGGTGGCATGCCCTATCTCGAGGTCATTCCATTCCACCTCTGCCATGCCCTCATCTAGCCGAGCGTATTGCAGTTTAATTTTGATCTCCTCTTATAGACGGTCGGGGAGGTGGATCTGGGGCACTTTTAGCTATGCTCATTTGCAAGGGGATCAGATAGCATACACTGTATCGCACAATGTCTGACATTCTTCTGCTCTTCTCGGTGTGGACTAGGAGTGGGTCAGGTATAGTAACTGCTGTGTTCAGAGGGTAGCGGAGTGTGAGAGGATATATATATCTCTTGTGCATGCCAAGCATGATGACGTAGAGATGAGGCAGATACTTACTAGTACTGACTGCAATTAATGGTCAATTGATGGTGTAAATGAGTCACCATCATGACCATAATTCAGAGTTGTGACTTATCAGTCATCAGTACAGCCTGTCTAACCAGGCCACCAGTCCACCAGGCAATAAGCCAGTCATGCTGCACCTGCTGGACAACGGGATGCAATTGGCGTTGTTTGCATTGGCTGCACTCTTTGCACTGTTTACACCATTTGCATCATTTGCATAGTTTTGCCAGGCGGTCAGGCTGGCTGTTGTTTCTCCCCCATTCATCCCCACAATCACTGCTCGCTCCACCAACTTACCTCGGGCTACCACCTCATGGATAGTAGTTCCAGCCGTCCTGGGGTCATCGACTCCGAAAGTGCCCTTCTTCTTCCATCAGGCGACTTTCTTGATTCCGATGGACCGTCTGAAGAGCACACAGAGGTGGAAGCAACCCCTCATCGCCATTTGGGGATCTGGTCCACCGCCTTCTTGATGTAAGGCCACCAGGCCACCAGGCCACCAGGCTGCAAGGCTACAAGGCCTCCGCTGATTGAATCGAACAGTACGAATCGAATGATTGGGACGGCCATCTTCTCCACTCCATCGACCATCGCTGCCAGTGTGAGAAGCGCTGGAGCCGCTTTGGCACTCTGGACGGTCGGATTTCTGCTATCCCTCTGCGGGCTGATGATCTGGCTGGAACTGGCCTCCTTGCTTCCTCGCAGCGGTGGGGAAAAGGTCTATCTGAACGCCGCCTATCCCCGTCCACCCTTGCTAGCAACCACCATTTATGCCACCCATGTGATTTGTCTCGGCTTCACCGGTACTGCTGTCTCCTGCTCTCTCAGATGACTTACTTTGATGTTGACTGCTACAGGCATCGGGAGTATCGCGATAGCAGAGAATCTCCTGCTAGCAGTAAAAGGCACGGCAGGTGAATGGACGAAACGCTTTCTGGCAATTGCTGTGATGACGACGATCGCCGTCTTGCACATCAAGGCGAGTACTCTCGCGGTGCGACTGATGAATGTTCTGGCCTCGGCCAAGATAGTGGTTCTGGTCTTGATCATCATCACCGGCTTACGGGTCGTTTCAACGGACCAACCCAGGGACCACCGGCCGGGCGCAAGCTTCGATCATCCCTTCGCTGGCTCTTCCACTCGGATTTATGACTATACGACCGCGTTGTTCAAGATTCTGGCCACGTATCAAGGATGGTCGAATGCCGCCTACGTCCTCGACGAGGTCCAGAATCCGCGACGCACGTTGAGAATTGCCAGTTTCCTCGGTGTGGGCTCGGTAGGGATTCTGTATATCCTAGTCAACGCGGCCTACTTTAGCGCTGCCTCCCCGGAAGAACTCAGCAAAACAGGTGTCACCGTGGTCGCACTGTTGGTCGGAAAAGTCTGGGGAGAAACAGCGCAATGGTGTACAGCCCTTGTGGCCGCGCTCTCGTCCTTTGGGAGTCTTCTGACCGCTTCCTTCTCCATGTCGCGGGTTATCCAAGCTCTGGCCCAAGAGGGTGTGTTGCCTTTCGCTCCCTTCTTTGCAAGCAGTACGCCATCGGCAACTCCGAAGGGTGCCTTTCTCGCACTGTTCATGGGTTCCGCCGTGATGATCCTCTGGGTCCCCTTCGGAGACGCATATAGCTTCCTCCTCGATGTCGGTCAGTACGCATTTGCGATCATATATCTGGCGGTAGTTGTGGGGCTCTTCATCATCCGCAAGCGTCTGTCCTGTCCGCAACGGACGTTTCGTGTGTGGACGAGTGTGGCTATTGTCTTCCTGGCCACGCAGATATTCCTTGTATTGTCGCCTTTCCTGAACCGTGAGCACGCCAGTGACACTAGTCTTCCATTCTGGTTGATGCCAACGGTTGCCATCTTGGCTCTGTCCAGTGGCTGGGCGTATTGGTATGGGTGGTGGGAGCTTCTCCCTCGGATAAGAGGATTTGTCTGGAAGAGCAAAGAGACAGTATCATCCGATGGTACTCGTGTAGTGGCGTGGACAAGACAGAGGCATGATGACTGAATTGTTGACATACCAACTAGAATTGAAGATAACAGCTTGTACCGTCTTGCTGACCTCCAAGCTTTAAGATCATGAGCCTCGACGTCCGGCATTCGGACCTGGCCATCCTCACTACTCTCTGGCTTCGATAAACATTATATGATGACTAGGCTGACTTTACCAGGAGATTCAACCATCTTTGTGACTTAGAAAATATCAATCAGATACCCAATTCGAATCTAAACCTACCAGACTCGGTTGCTAGAACACACAGCCTCCCACCTCGCCACACAAGGCCATAGCCCGACTGAGTCAAATACTCACAGGAGGTAAAATACCAGCATCAACATCATCGCCGCTTACGAACACACGCAGACCGCAGCGGACTATAAGGAAAAACCAACTTAGAATTAGAGCCACTACAACTTCTAATTACTCTAAGACTTATATTATAGCTTAATTACAGCATCTACTTTTTAACTTTACTGTTAGAATAGCAGTAAATTATACTTTTATATATTAATATTATTATAAAAATTAAGAATTTAAACAGTTTTTCTACTCTTAGAATTACCTAAGCCGAAAGCCGAATTTTAGTAATAAAACTAAACTGTTTTTAGATTATATTAACAAAATTAGTTTTATTTTAGATTTTACTAAAATATTCCGCCTGGACTAGATACTTACAGCCTAAGAATTTTATATTTTACAGTTAAATTTATAAAATAAATATAATTATTACTAACTCTAATAAAATTATTTTTTATTTTTTATAGGATCTGGTTATATTACTATATCTGCTTAATATCTGGTATTTAGAAAATATAAACAGCCTTTTAAGTATAAATCTACTAAAAAAAAAAATAAAAGTATATTTAGTAATACTAATAAGTACAGCGGACAGCTGCTGCAGCTAAATAAAATATCTACTTTACTATATATTATTTTTTTTTATAAATAATATTTAAAATATAAGTAAACTTCTTTAACAAGTTCTACCAGAGTTTATATTTTATAAGTTAAATTAAATTTTTTTATCTGTTAATATAGTTTTTTTTAAAATTTTTTTTAATCCTATTCTACTATCTGATCTAAATACTACTGTAAATACTAAACTAATTAGTAATTCTAAAAATTAAATTTTTTATAATTTTAGTAGTATTAAAAATAGTTTTCTACTTTACTCTGCAGTTTTATTTAAAATAATAGTAAATTTTATTTATTTAATTAATAGCAACTGCTAATACAGCTTATAAATAAACAGATACTCCAGTTATAATATTTAATATAAAAAGTTTAAGGCTGAAAGCTGTTAAAAAGTTAAATAAGTACTTAGCTAAGCAGCTAATTTAGTACTATAAATACTATAAAAATTATTACTAAAGTATTACAGGTAAATATTATAATTAGCTTTAAAAATATTAAAAATTTTAATATTTTTTTATTTAAATATAGGTTTATAAGTTCTTTTCTAATATTTTTAGCTCAAATAAATTACTACAGTAAGTAGATAATTTAGTAGAATAAACTATAATTACCTATAAGTAGAAAATATATAATAAAATTTTAGTAGATTTTAGTAAGCTGATTTATATCTGTTTTAAGATTAAGTTAAAGCTATTACTTTTTTACTTAATAATATTTAATATTCACAGTATTATTAGATATCTAAGCAGTTTTATAGTAGCTAAATAAAAAATTTAATAGTATTTTATATAAATAATAGTTTTTAATTTTTAGTTTAGTTTTTATTTTAGCTTTTTAACTGTATTCTACTTTAATAAGATGGGCTGTATTTATACTGTACAGTAACTAGTCTATTAAATCCTCTACTATATTTTTAAATATATAGTTAAATTTAAAAATATTTTTATATATTTTTTTTTTCTAGGCTGTACTAAAAGAACCAGCAGTACAGCCGGCTGTATAATATAAATTTTAAACTATAAATAAATTAGATTCTACTTTTTATAATATACTATTACTGCTCTAGTTTTTTTATATAGTATTATTTATTAAGCTATAACTACAGCTAATTTAATATAACAGTATAGAAGATAAAAATATACTTATAAAAAATTAATCCTATAATTTATAAATAAACTTTTTTTTATTTTTTTTTCTAGACTTTTTATATAGGATTTAAAAAAATATTTTAGAAACTGTTTAAAAGTTTAGGCTGTACTAGTTTTAAGGCGCCCAAATCCTGCTTTAAACTAAAAATCTAAAGGCTTTAACTAAAAACTATTTTTAGTAAATAATAATTAACTAATTTGAAAAATACTAGTATTATACTATTAATAAGTTCTATATAACTACTAAATTTTATTTTAATATAGCTAAAAAAGTATACCCCTTTAGTAGCTTTTAGACTACTATTTAGCTAAATAAAGTCTACTTTATAGAGGGCCTGGAAAGTTTACTATAAATACTACTTTAATAATACTACTATTTAGACTTTTATATAATTTAAATTTAAAATCTTTATAAAGCTGTATAAAATAGGTTTTATTAAACCTTTTATCTAATAACTCTGCTGCAGGATTCTGGTAGTCTAATATTTTAAATATATATAGTTTTTTAAAGCTGATAGGCTGGGCTTTTTTACAGCTAATTCTACTTTAATACTAAAAAAATATTTATAGTAGAAAATATATATTTATTTACTAATTTTGTAGTAGAGGAATTAGCCCTGGACCTGCAACTGTAAAAAATCTGGTAGTTAGTTAAAAAAAATCTAAGCTATAATTTAATAGCTTTTATTTAAGCCTATTTTTATACTAAGTAATAGTATTACTATATACTGCAGGGGTTGTTTTATAAAATATTTAAAATCTAAAAAAAATATTAAATATTAAAAGTTTTTTTAAATTAGATTTATATAAAGTTTTAGTACTGTAGATTATATTATAACTGCCTAAAGCCTTTCAGGGCTAATAATTTTTTTTATTATTACTATTTTATTTAGACTATTATTAACTGGCTCTGCTACAATATAAATAAATTTTATATAAGATTTAAAATAGTTTATAGTTTAAATAACTATTATTTTATTATTTAAAAGTATATTTAAGTAATACTTATATTTTTCTACTGTTTATAATTTTTCTACTCTACTAGTTTTATTTAGTATATAGGCA